GAGGGGCAAGCCTAGGGCAGCCAGGGCCTCTGCGTGGAAACTGGAAGCGAAGCCAAGGCAGAGGAGAGCAGAGGCAGGAGAGCAGTGGAGGTCGGATGGGATTTAGGAGGTGCTAGATTCAACTCCATCTGACCAAACTAATTAGACCACCTGGTCTGGGCCCTGGATCCAGCCATATTTGAAGCCAGATTTTCAGCTGAATGTGCAACTAAAATTCTCTTTTTGTGTTTTTTTGGTCACTTAAAACCAAGAGTCCTAATGAGCACAACCATCAACTGCTGAAGACGCAACACCCCCCATTGTAAAGCTGGAGACACCGAAGTTCGCTGAGAGCGGAGGGCGTCAGAAGACAGAGGAGAAGGCCCGCAGCGCGTCGCCGTGCCGATGCGTCCTGTCCGCCTGGGCTCCCTGGCCTCACAAACACGCCCCGGGAAGCTAAAAAACACTCAGTGTTAACGAGGATGTTCTCCTGATGCTGCAGGGCAGCTGCCTCTCAAAACACCGACCTCCAATAAAGAGTCCGTGCATTAAACTGAGATTTGCATGGAAAACTCTCATTTCCGGAGGAACGTTTTCTCCAGGTGCCTGGAGAACAATCAGGAGCGAAATTAACATCCTAAGTAAACCAGTGAGAGCTGTCTTAGCAGCTTCCACATCTCACATGCAAACGTCCATGTGTCGGACGGAAGAAAGGAAGAGCTTGGCTTCCTCGGCACAGACGCAAAGTGAAAAGCAGCCTGAGTTTGCCATAGAGTTCATTCATATGCATTTCATTCGCACGTATTTCCAATGAGGCTTTCAAGAGCTGGGACATGAATAGAACCCGGCAAATTAATTAGCCCATTCTTGAATTCAGCTCAGTCTTCAAATGCTCGAAATCATTCCTTTCAAAGCAAAACCCACAGGAGCTACAATAAATCACAAAATGGGGGGGGGGGGCGGCAAAGAGCCAGAGAACACACAGGGATTATATAAATAACCCTGCGACTGAGCCGCTCAAGTCAAAGATAGTTCTCCACTGGCAGCGTGAAGAACCACCAAGAACTCCACTGTGGGCTGTGGTAACACGGCCAGGCTGGCCGTGACAAGCTGGGATCTGGCTCCGCGTGAAAAGTCAGGAGCTCGTTTTTGCTGGCTACTTGCAAGCTGGGCCATCTGGGCACTCGGGATAGCTGGTTAAAATTAACAGTTCAAATTGGCAGCCCCGAATTCTCGCAGAATCTAAGCAACAGCTCTTGCGAGGCTCATTTTGGGAGTCGCTGCCAATGCGTGGGGAAGCTGAGACCTTCACTTAGACACGGTTTCCTACAGTGAAACTTGAGAGGGACCGCGACTCCTGCCGTCAGAAGGAGGAGCCTGTCCCCCAGGGGCTGGAGGCCCAGGGGGCCGACATGGCAGCAAACACACTGTTTGCGTGGGTCAGCGCCGTGCAGAGCGGGCAGTCGATTCCCTGTTGCCTGCGCTCTGGACATTCAGCTCAGGCAGACCGGGCACTTCACAATGAGCCACCCAAGCACCTTGGTGACGGGGTTGGGACAACGGGCGCTGGTTCAAATGGAGTAGAGCAACAGTCATTCGTGGGTGCTGTTAATATCAGCTTTGCAGAAAAGTGAGCGAGATTCGCGGAGCTGGACCGAGCACTGTGTGCAGATTCTCACACCAGGGTCCCTGAGGTCCACAGAGCTGAGGGAGCCGTGAACGTGGGCCAGGACTCCAGGAGTGCGTCACAGGGGCAACCGAGACACTGAATGAACCAGAGCGCCAGCCCGTGATCTCCCTGCCATCCACGCACGACAGCTAAACCCAACACCCCCAGGGGGAGCACTTCAAACGGAGGCAAAGCATTTTTATGAGCTGCAGGGTGAGTCCAAATTCTCTCAGCATCGCATGTGTCAGGAATGCCCTTAAAACTGGGAGCAGTCGTTCCCCAACTGGGAGAGGAATTTTAAACACCAGTGACGTCGGTCAGGTCTGCAGGTGAACTTTAAATATGGGAAAACCCTTCTGCTCGTACATCTGGGTTATTACAGCTGCTACTTGTAGTAAGTCAAGGACGCCCTCTGCTCAGGACGCTGGGAAGGGGAAGCAACCAGCGCCGCTGGACCCCGGTCACCATTTACCCAGGGAGACATCAGGGTTCTGGAGCCCAGCCCCTAGGGGCCCAGGAGTACGCTCTCTAACCCCAGGCCCCGCATCTGTAGGGGACCCGCACCCCACAGGCTACAGCGGGGGCGGACTGACACCGCCACTCACGCTTACGGAGGGCCGCCCAGGACTTCTCGTCAGTTACCTCGGTAACGGTCCGCGACCACGCACTGCCTCAGCTGGTGGGATCTTACTGGCTCTCCCCGTTCATTCATTCATTCAGAGTTCCTGAGCATCCTGATAATGTGATGACCATGAACTACCTCCACTGATGCAACCTTACTAAATCTCCCATTCATTCACACAAGAGCATCTCCGTTTATACATTCACTCATTGATTCACTCACTCATTCAAAGTTCCTGAGAATCTCTGCAGTACTACATGACCATGAACTACATCCACTGATGGACTCTTCCTGGATCGCTCATTCATTCATTCATTCAACGTTCCCGAGCATCACCTGCTGAGCAACTGCTGCGTGTCAGGCTGTGCTCTAGGAGTGCAGACACTCCACTCTGGAGGCAGATGACAGGCAGACAGGTAAATCAATGGGGTGAGGTGGCAGAGCAGAGAGCGCCGGGACAAGGGGTGGAGTCCATTCAGGCAGGGAGGCTGTGGGGAGACATTAATGACAAAAACAAGCCAGTTCTGCCACTATCTGGGGACCAGCCATTGTGGGCGAAGACCTGAGAAGGGGGCGGTCTGGGGGTGGAGAGGAGGCCAGGGCTGAGGGCAGGCAGGGCGACAGGAGAGGAGGAGGCAGAGGCAGGCAGGGGTTACAGAAGGTGACACGTGCATCCGAGGCCCTGGGCCCAGAGCCTGCCACACGAGGAACAGTCACGGTGTAGCTTGTCACTACTGTCACTGTCACAGCCCAGGCTCAGTCTTGCTCGCCGCTGCTGGGCTGTCAGCCCTTGGAACACTGCTGACACGCGACCCTCAAGAACTGTTTGCTGAATGAATGCGTGAACGTGAGGCGTCTCGGCTGCGCGCTTGGCTCCCTGGTCTCTGTGAAGCAGGTGTCCCACGGAGAAGTCCTCACGGGTGGGACTCATTCTACTTGGACTTCTGCGTTCCTGAGCTGTGCCTCCACCGAGCCACCAGAGAGGAGGACAGGTGGAAGGCCTTATCTCCCTCGATTCTCATTAGAATTGCCTCGGGCAGCTGAGCACCCACCCATCTCTAATTCAACACGTGCTTTCACTTGCCTCTCCCAACCACCACACTGGAAAGAGGGACAAGCCAGAGCGTCCCAGGACGGAGAGGCACCCAGGGGAAGATACTGGGTTCCACGTCCCTAACATCTGCTGGCTGAGTGCCCAGACCTCCCGTAGGGTGGCCAGGTTTGGAGCGGAGGCTACAACCACAAAGGCACCTCCAAGTACTGGAAAACGTGGCAAAAATCCACCTACATCTCAGGGGAAAATATACCCCTGGCTTCCCTACACACAAGCTGTACGTCACGAAAAGGAGTATTGGGGGTCCAGGAAGCAGAGGCTCCTGGTGTAAAAGGAAGTCAGGAATTCCCAGGGTGGTGAACGGAATCTCCAGGCCCAGCTCCACTTCGCCCTTACGAGCATCCAGCCCGGACTCCAGGCACGAGGATCCAGGACAATGGAATTAACGCCTCCCTTGGAGAGTATGGGCATCCTGGGAGGGGTTTACAGCTTTGGCAGAAAGTCTGGGAAGAAGGAGGTGACGGGTGCACAGAGAACAGACCAAACACACAGAAAGAGGCAGTCACCTCCGGGGAAAAGAGAGGCTGCACAAACAGAGAGCCAGGCATGACACGTGATGAGCGGGCCTGCGGAGGCTGGACCGGAATTCAACTTGGGACGTCATGCTTCAGATCATCCCAGCGGGATGTCTCAGGGAAGGCTGGATAGAAGAAGTAGGGTTCAGAGGCAGACTCTGACTTGGAGATCTAAGTCTGGGAGCCGGCGCCCAGGTGGTACCTATACCCAAGGGACCAGAGACCACAGAGGGGACGGGTGCAGATCAAGAAGAGGTGTGGTTTGTGGACGAGCCTTGGGGAGCACCTAGGATGTTAAGGGGGCACGGTGGTGGAAGGAGGAAAACTGAGAGGGTACGGTCCTGGAAGCCTGGAGGATGGGGAGACTGACCACCTCAAACTGTGCCGCTGGGTCCGAGAGGCTGAGGGCAGGGCACTGACCACTGAGAACGGAGTCCACACACAGGTGACTTAACAAGAACCACGGCCCTGGTGAGACGGAGGCGGGCCCCCCTGGAGCAGGCTAAGAGGTAAAGCAAGCTGCAGTCCGAGGGAACAGGCTGCTCCTTAGAGAGACCGCACCCTGCTGTCTCATGGGAATCAAACTGGAGCTCAGAGAGCTCTGGTGACTTTTATCGTGGTAGGGGGACCAGGGCCAGGCTTTGTCCTCCCGTCGCAGGACACGAGCACTTGCACACCGGTGTCTGCCGCTCACTGAGACGCCTCCACGCCCTTATTCACTCAGTCTCACTCTGGAGGGCCGTGGTCTCCTCCTGTCCAGCACGCGTTCCCAGTCTCCTGAACAACGGCTGAGCGGCCGACACAGGGGTGGCAGCCAGCCAATACTTGCTGAGTGCGTGCCGTGCGCGCGTGCGTGTGTGTGCGCGTGAGTCAGTGTGCGCGCATGAGTGCACGAATGTGTAAGTGTGAATGAGTGAGCGAGCGAGAGAGCGATCCCAACAGCAAGTGCAGCCCGGAGGCTGTCCCTGCTAGGAATCAGAGACAGGAACCCCGGAAAGAACTCAGCAGCCCCGCTCCACTCGAGGCTCAGCCTGTCTAACACTTTGTACAAGAACCAGGGCTCTGAGAAGCCATGGAGCGGGCACACGTGCACTTCGTCAGCTCCCTTCCTCTGCTCCCCGCCGATGAAGCATCAACGTGTCCGAACAGACTCTCAGGCACAGAAACAAGCTTACGGTTTCCGGGGAGGGGAAGAGGGCGGGAAGGCACAAGCTGGGAGTCTGAGATCTGCAGACACCAACTGCTGTTTATAAAACAGACAAACAACAAGTTCATGCTGCAGAGCACAGGGAACTATATTCGGTATCTTGCAGTCACTTGTGGTGGAAAAGAACATGAAAGGAATATACGCATGTTCACGTATGACTGAAGCACTGTGCTGTGCCCCAGAGACGGACACACTGGAAACTGACTAGACTTCAATAATGGTAATCTATATTCAAAAAACAAAACAGGGACAAGGCTGAATCCGGGGGAAAGGAGCAGAGGACGCCGGATGAGGCCCAGGAGGCACTGCAGGAGCTGAAGAATGGACTCGGCTCTGGAGCACTTCCCTCAGCGTCAGGACTTAGTAAGTGAAACCCTGCCTCGGAGGATGCTCTGCTGAGAAAAACGACCGGTCGCCCTTGCTGGACGATGTTTGTACTTCTGCTGGCTTTTTATCCGGCCTGGATGCTCCCAGCCTGGGGACGGGGCTTCCGGGGGTGCAGGTACCAGGCAGGCGTCTCCCGGGCGCCGGAAGGCCCCCCTCGCCCCGCATGGCGGGAGCAGATAAGAGTAATGCCGCTGTCTGCGTCCTGGCAATATCCTTTCTGGATAGCAGCTAATGAAATACTGCCTCTCAGCGTGCCAGCCAACTTCTCATGACGGGTGAAGAGGACTGTGGCAGATGCACTGCGCCGGCCCAGTGAAACCCAGCCCTAATACAAGGCTGCCGTACACGATCAGAGAAACAGCCTCAGGAGTTACTGGCCTGATGCTGCCCGCTCTGCCAATAAACTCGGGAGGAGAAAAGCCACTCTGACGGATCCCTGTCGCCAGCCAGGCGGGGCAACGTCCTGTCCTTTATTTGAGATCACAGACCTGGAGGGCCCCTCCCCCGTCCCCTGTGGAGGAGAAAGTGACTGCAGCCCCTCCCAGCCTGAGCAGGTGCAGGGGCTGGGACCAGCACCTGCACTAACAGTCAGGCTGCGCTCTGGCTGGAGAAGGGCTGGCTGCCCTCCTGTGAGTGGGGGACACCAGGCTTCAGGAAGGAAATGTGTAGGATGGGCGCTACACACAAAGACCTCGAGCCCCTGGCCATAAAGATGAAAGCTTCATACCTATTTGGAGAGAAGCAGGAGGACCAAGGCTGAAGGCTAAGAACGGGGCCGGGTTAACTTTCTTATCACAGGTGCCGTGGGGACGCGCCTTCTGAGCTGCCTGGTCCCCTCCGCCCCTCCTCCCCTCCGGTTTCTGCTCTTTCTTCTCCCTCCCCTCTTTTCTCGCCTTTTCTTTCTTCTCCTGGTGGTCCCTCTCTCATCCTCTGTTCAAGAGCTCAGGCTATACTTATTGCCCTAAAACTCAATTTGCTCATTTAATAGCACACCATGCAAATCTCCCTGAGGTAGCAGATGGAAACCCGAACTATCCCTTCTAATACTGTCGTGCTGGCCTGGGGCATGATGCACCACAGCTGACACAGCCACGCCCTCAGATGGGCATCCGACTGAGCCCCACTGCCGAGCCCCACACAGCAGCGCCGCCAACACCTTTTGAACCGGCCCCTGTGTTTCTCACAGGGCGTATTCTCAGAGTGGAAGGTCACAGGGTCCGCATACACCTGGATTTTAATTCTAACTGACGCTGTCGGGTTGCTGGCCCCCAAAGCTGAAGTGAGTCACATCCCTGTCAGCAACCCCAGGCCTGTCGTTTTCCCTGCAGTCTCGCCAGCACCAACTGTTAGAGCTTTTCGTTTGATTTTGCAGTTTGGAACCTGAACACGCGTCAACTTAGGGTCAACTAGAGACACGGGGCGGCACACGTGACTCAGAATCCTCCCACGCCAGGAACGGGAGGGGGACGCTCTCAAGCCTGCAAGAGAGGGCTCGGGGGAGCAACTAGCCGGCTCCCACCTCTGGTCCCCTGCCCACTGCCGCTGCCCACCTCCCCCCAGCCCCAGGCCCAGGCCCACCAGCTCACCTTCTGCAGAAGGTCGATCTCCTGCTGCTTGGCGCTGAGGACAGCCAAGGCTTGTTCATGCTCCAATTCCAGCTGCTGCCGCCGTTCCGCAGCCTCTCGCATGTGCTGCGGGGGGAGGACAGGTGGGTCAGCCTGGTGCCCCGCAGGGAGCGGTATCCCGGGTCCCCGCGGCCAGCAACCCGCTCTGACTCACCACCCGCCTTCCCGGCTCCTCCCAGGGGCTGCAGGGAGAGCCGGAGAAACCCTCCCACCCACAAGCCTTTCTCCCTCAGTTTTCACTTTTTATGTTTTACATGCCAGGAGCACGTGAGCACAACTGGGTCTCCTGCAGAGATGAATTCCTCTTCTTCCTGTTTTGAAAACTGCTCTCCTCTTTCTGTTCTCCCCCAGGTCTTCTGCAAGTACCAGCCAAGATTGACGGATCTTTCCCTGCACAGGGCTATCGTTCTGAGCTTTTCACCACCACGTAAGTAATGTCATCCTCGCAATCATCATAGGAGGGAGATGCTGTAACCAGCCCCATTCTACAGATGGGAAAACTGACACAGTTTTCCTTGTTTGCCCCACATGGTAAGCGGCCATGTAGGATTCAAATCTAAGTCCCCAGTGGAGCCTTTGAATCTCGGGCTTCAGTCCTGTCTGCTGACTCACGTGAAGAACAGTGCTCAGCCCCGCAGGTCCAAATGACCCCTCAACTGGTCCCTCCCAAAAGGTCCCACTGAGGCAGGGAGGCCCAGGGCTGGACCCTTTCTCTAACTCCAGCATCTTCTCCTCGTCTCTGATGACTTCTCACCCACCCAAAGTCACCCTCCAGGAGAACCCACCAGTGAGCACCAGAGGACAGCCGGGACCACCACAGCCCTGTCGTGACCCTGTGAGCCCCCGAGGCGAGGAAACACGAGAAAGGACACCACACAGAAAAAGGTGCGGGTGGGGCGGACTTCCACCACCTGGAGCACTTCCTGGAGAGCCAGGTCCACGACACCTGGATTTATCTTTCTCCCTCCTTCCCTCCCTCCCTCCCTCTTTCTTTTCTGTAACAAGATACATGCCCAATGTGACTTAGTGATCAATGTTTTATAATTGTGATCTTTTACATCAAAGTCCAGATTTACTTAAAAAAAAAGAAGAGAGAAGGCGTGTCCCACTGGAGGGGCTGGCAGAGGCGGAGCCACAAGCACACGCCTCCAGTTTACCGCAGTCCCCACCGTGGACCCAGCCCCTCCTTCACGGGACCTGTAAAGATAGGAGGCACCTTGCCATGCCAGGGAGGGGCCCTAGCACACCTTCCTCCTTGGCCTCAATGTGTTGTTGATTTACTGTTATTATTTACGACTTTAAAATTTTATTATTTTCATCCCCAGATTGGGGAAGGGGGCACGGGGAGATAAGGGAGGAGGGTAGGGAGGTAAATTCTATTCTTTTCACCATCTTCCTCAAGTCCACTCCACCCTCTGGCACCAGAAGTTTCTTCCTTCTGGGAGAGATTTGGAGCTGAACAATTTCAACTACAGACGAGGAAGCTCTCAGGTATCAGGTCACAGATTTCTGTGACTTGTCTGCACTGAAAAAGTGAAGTCTTCCTGCCGTCCCACGCTGCACGTGTCATGTGTGCAGTGACATCACGTGCTGGCCTCGCCTCCAGTCTGAGCTGAACCACCACAAAGTCCCCTCTACTGTCTGTTCTCTGGGAAGCTGCAGGTACCCTGCCCCAAAAGCAGACACGTGCTGGTTTCCCTGTTGCCATGGAAACCCTCACCAGAACCCGGGATCCTGGGAAGACAGACCCCTCTCCCTCAAAGCACGAACAAAATCCCACGACATGTGGAAATGGGCGTGTCTGTCCATCACTGTAACTTGCCCACGTTGGGGCCGGAATGGGTCATTAGTGTCTGTCTGTGGGCCAGACAGGCGACAGAAACAGCCCCCACACAGCCGCCTGCACCCTCGCCAGCACCCAGCCTTCCTGGCCTGAGCGTGTCTCACCATCCCAGGTGGGAGAGGGGTTCTCTGCTGCTGCAGCCCCCGCACCTCCAAGGGCCAGTCCTGACCATGCTTCTCCTGGCCCTGCAGAGCTGTGATGCCCATCTGGGTGCAGCAACTTTCTTTTTAATGGAGGCACTGGGGGATGAAACCCAGGACCTCGTGCATGCTAAGCATGTGCTCCGCCACTGAGCTACCCCCGCGCCACAGGTCTGGCAATTCCTAACGATCTCTTAGGACAGACCGGCCCCCCTGCCCACCACCAACCCACCGTGACTCCCAGGCCAGCGGCACAAGGCACAAGGCCGGGACGCGCCACGAAGACAGCCAGCCACCAGCGCCTCGGAAGGTGTCAGGAGCTCTCCAAGCGCTCAGTGGCTCTGGAAACTCTTGCACAAACACTGCTCACCGACTCAGAGGGCGTTACTTCTGTCAGTATCAGGCCTCGTCTTACGAGCACCAGAGTTAAGTCATGTTGCTTGTTCCCCACCAACGTTCATGGATTGTCGGAGGGCAGGTGGACCACCTGTGCAAGGCTTTTAGTTCCAGAGAGGGATCTGTTCCATTTCCTCGTCAGTTTTCTCCTTCTTTATGTTTATTCATCCAACCAGTATTTACTGGGCGCCTACCATGTGCCAAGAGCCTGGACACACAGAGCAGCAGGACTCGGCCTCCCTGAACGGACGTCCTAACTGTGGGAGCAGGTGAGAAAGGGCGTGAGCGAGCCGGCAGGCCAGACCACAGCAGGCGGCAGCAGGGAGCTTCCGCTGGGCCACTCAAGCCGGCACGCAGCCACCTCCAGCTTACAGGACTGGCCGCCACTCCCCTCCCACCGCCGACCCGACAATGAAGTGTCCGCCTGCCGCTGCCGTGAACACTCACTCACTCACTCAGCAGTAATTACCAAGCACCTGTCTCGTGCCCCTCGCCACCCTGGGTTACAAAGGCGTCAGTGAGGAAACAAAAACAAACAAGCCCAACGCCCGGAGTTTATGTCCGAGGGGAGAGCCAGATGCAGCCGCGCACTAAGCCACGCGTAGTGCGTGGGGTGGTCCTGAATGCCACGGAGGAAAACACAGCAGGGAGCTGGGGGATGGGGCTGTGGGTGCGGCAGAGGCCGGCAGGATCCAGTGAAGGAGCTGGAGCCCCACCGAGGAGACGGCACTGAAGCAGAGACCAGGGAGCTGCGGGTGGAAGGGTCTTCCAGGCCCCGGAACAGCATGGCGCCAGGATTCCTCCAGTCCTCACCCAGAGGACGCACTGGGCCGGGTCTGTGGGGCTGCGGGTGTGAGGCCAGCCCTGAGCGCCTGGGAAGCCTGCAGGGTGTTCCCTGCTCCAGACGCTGCTCACTGCTTCACATGACGTCCCTTAGGAACCAAAGACTGTGAGGGGGGCGCCTTTCTCCTACGTCACGTCAGGAAGGAACACCTTTCCAGAACACGCTAGACAGCTTCTACTGCTCAGAACCGGCCAGATACCCACATGAACCCATGAATCCCAACCCCTGGCAGCCAGCAGCCTGAGAGATCTCTGCACCCAGAAGGTGGGTCACGTTCTTTCTCTGTTCGGAACCCCTCAGTGACCCTCACCACCCGAGTAAAGCTGCAGTGATGAGGCTGCAAGTCCTGCCTCCTCCTTCCTCCCGACATCCCTCTACCACTGTCTGCCTATCCCACTCTGCTCTCCACCCTGGGCTTTATCTTTCCAAAGGCCAGGCACCTCAGGGCCTTTGCACATGCTATTCCCTCTGCCAGTCACACCCTTCCCCCCAATACTGGAAGAGCTTGTTCTCTCAAATTCCAGTCTTTGCTCAAATACCACCTTCTCAGTGAAGCCATAAGTAAAACTGTAACTTCTCCCTTCCTCAGCATCCTTATTCACTGCCTTGCTTTATTTTGGCCCAGAATACTTACCACCATCTAATGTACTACACATTTCACTTGCCCAATGTCTGCCTTCCCACCCTAGAATGTAGACAGGCACCTGGTCTCCAGCTGTAGTCCCCGCCCCTGAACAGGTCACTCAGTACAGAAGCCAAATCCTTAAAGCTGTCCTTTGTGATCTGCCCCCGGGACTCCTCGAAGCTCAGCTCTGACCACCTGGCCTCCTCACTCAGTCTGCTTCAGCCACACTGGCCTTTCCCAGCTCCTGGAACTTCCTCAATATTCTCCAGCAGGTGTTTATAGGGACAGTGATGGTGGAGATGTGTTTCCAGGAATTCAGGTCAGTTAAAGGTGGAGGGCAGTGATCAAGAGTCAGACTGCCTGGGTTCAGGTCCCAGCCCTGCTGCCTCCCAGCTCTGCATCCTCGAGCTAGTGACTTGACCTCTCTGTGCTTCATTCGCTTCTTCAGGGTTAATTATTCATCAGCATTATGATGAATTTGTAGAAGGCTAATTAACTAACAATTAAGTAGATAACTAATGTTGATTAGTTAATTATGAATGAACACCTGCTTCGTAGGGGTGTTCTGAGTGTTACATGAGTTAGAATAGTACCTGGCGTCAACTAAGTCCACCACCTTTTACCCTGAATACAAGAAAACCCCTCCCCATCGACCTTGTGCAGTGTCCTGTCACCCAGGACCTCGCAGTGCAGCATCAGGTAATGAAGCAGTCTGTGACGCAGCAGCCCGAGACGCACCACGCAGCAGCCTGGGACGCACGCGGCAGCCCGGGACGCACACAGCAGCCCGGGACGCACGCAGCAGCCCGGGATGCCTCTTTAGCATAAACTCAAGGTGCGTAGGAGAGGCAGAACGTATCCAGCGACCAGCGACTCCACCAGCAAGGCGCCGAGTGGCTGGGCTGATGGCACCGGTAAGATGAGGTGATAAAGAACACTCGCTGCCACTTGTTAAGCACCGACCACGTGCCAGGCACTCTCCCAAACAACGCTGCGTGCTGCGGCCACCGTTCACACGGGCCACACGCTCAGGGAAGCCGAGTGGCTGCTGAAGTCCAAGTCCACACGTGGCGCTGGAAGCCACCCAGGAACGGCAAACTGCAAAGCCAGCGTACGCCTAACCACGGACCCCCTCCTGGCCTGAGCCCCTTCTCCCTGGCCACCCTCACCGTGACACCCACCAGGGCAGATGAGGACCCTCAGGCTCCCCAGCAGCCA